GCTAATAGTGAGCTTTCCCTTATCGGATGGTGTGATTCGGATTGGGTTGCTTGCCCAGTCAGTCGTCGTTCCCTTTTTGGATGGTTGGTTTTTCTTGGGCAATCTCCTATTTCATGGAAAACCAAAAAGCAGTGTACTGTTTCTTGTTCTTCAGCCGAAGCAAAATACCGAGCTATGGTTGCCGCCACCTGTGAACTTAAATGGCTCAAGGCATTACTTCTCAGTCTTGGAATGAATCATGACAAAGCTATTCTGCTGTTTTGTGATAGTCAGTCTGCCATGCATATTGACCGAAATCTTGTTTTTCATGAATGCACTAAATATATTGAGGTGGATTGTCATTTTATTCGCGATGCTATCAAAACGGACCTCTTTGCCCCTAGCTATGTTCCTACCACTGTGCAGTTTGCAGATATTATTACTAAAGTTCTTGGAAAGACTCAGTTCCACTTTTTTCTGCGCAAGTTGGGCATTTTGGACCCCATGCTCCAACTTGAGGGGAGTATTATGGAAAGCATATATTGGATTATATTATTTATTCTTTTTTGTGATATGTAATATCCTATTTTAGGGACATACTTATTATCTTTCCTTCTTTGACTAGTGAAGATATATATATATATATATATATATATATATATATATATATATATATATATATATGTGTGTGTGTGTGTGTGTGTGTGTGTGTGTGTGTGTGTGTGTGTGTGTGTATGTATGCCTTGGAGAATGAACAACACAATACAAAGGTTATTACTCTTGCTTCTCCTTCATTGGATATCCTGAAGTTGAAATCGAAATGACTTTTATTGACGAATCTATTGAGGAAATAAATACTACGTATTAAATTAGAAATGTATTTGATTCAGAAAATTATGAGAGTAACAAGACCTTCGCATTATCCGACCGGTCAACCATTTACAGGTCCAAAATTAAAGTTACTCTTCTGGCTCATAATTGGTTGGGTGGTTCAAGATCTTTTATGTGGAATGATCTTGGTCCAAAAAGGTGGAATCTCCCACCTCAGGAGCCCCCACCCCGACCCGACAGGATGGTGGGGAGGTTAATAACGGTGACCCAGTCAGCAAAGCGACGGTAGGTCTTATACACGTGCGCATCAGAGGTTGAGTCTTATTTCAGGTTCTGTAACCTCCACACGACCGCTGCGAATTTCGAACCTTAGTCACTTTATTCAATTTTCCCGTCACTCGTTCGACCAACTGAGCTATCCACGCGGACATGTGTGGATTGTGGAATGATCTAATTCTATCATTGAAGATGCTTTCTTTACATGGAAGTTGGAAACCCACGTGCGAAAAGCGGAGTGGTGTTTGCTTAGGCTGGAAGAGACAAGACTCGCAAGAGTCAAGGGAATCTCACAAAGTGCAAAGACAGAATAAGTGCTTCGGTTTCTTAATACTTATACAATACTGCACGCGCGCGTATCATAATGCATTTCATGTGGCGTACTATACACAAATACGAAGATATGGCCCACATTTTTAGAGTCAATTTAGAGACCGGCTTGATATCACGAAAATCAGTTGGTTCGATTTATGTCCTGAAATGTATGAAGTTATAGCTGAAATAGCTGCATTAGTTGACTTCGCTGATTTAATAAACAATTATGTTTAAAATAGATTTTATTAATAAAACAAACAAAAAAATTATATATTAAAATAGCTAAAATGGTTATCTACAATAACTTCAGTCAATATGACCAGAAAAGTAACTGCAACCCACAATTTTAGAGCCGATTTAGTATTCCGTACTACTCATATTTTCAATTTATCGGTCTTGTTTTGATGTTTTTAATTTATTGAAGTTTTCTATTGATTTGATATGATACTTTCAAGTCTGATCTATTATATGGAATAGTTTGATACGATATGATGTGAAGTATATTAGATTTACATGTGTTTACATGTTTTTGTGAAACTACTTGTTCATTCGCATGTGAGCTAGAGCCGGTTTCCCAAAATAAATTTTAACGGCATACCGCATACGTACATACTTCGTATGTTACTAATAAATACAAACAAAATACGAAAAAATGAGCCCTAATTAACAAAGGAATTGCATATTTAATTATCTTTAAAAGGATTAGTGTAGTTATTCAAGCTAAGATGACTATTTTTGTCTTTAAGTATCCTTTGAAGTGGCTATTTTAATCTTTTAAGCATTATTTAAATGATTAAATTAGCCAATTTAAAAGATACTAACCTAATTACAGATTGATTCTACATTATTATGGATATCATCTAGCTTGTCCCGGTTCACCCCACCACAAGAGAACTCAATCTGTTAATTTATCAAATTAATAGGATTAGTGACTAACGAGAGAAAGTCCACCTTACATTTATGCAAATTCTTTTGGGATAATTTTAAAAAATGGGAGTAAACTATTATATTGCGTAATTTCAATCACAGGAGTATCATATTTTTCTCTTAATTGCAGAAAATTACCATTACATTTAACATACTCCGTATGTATTAGTGCTATAAGTAGTACGGAGTAATATTTTTCAACAATGGAAATAATTAATTATTCTTATTCAGAGGAAGATTTTTATACATAGAAATTTGCTCTAAATATGAGCAAAAACGTTTTGAAATTCCAAAACATGAGTATCATGTTTTTAATTCTCTAAATAGGAGTAATCTGCTAAGTTTGAAAAAAATGTCATGTTTAAAGGCTAGTAATGTCAAACTTGACAAAAATTTACTCATATTTAAGGAATAAAAACATGATAGTTCTATTTTGAAATTTCAAAACTTTTTTACTTCTATTTAGGAAATTCTTTCTTTTATATATTTTCAAAAGTATGTTTTTATACTACGTATGAACTATGAAGTTATGCTAGGGAGCTATTATAATAAGTGGAAATTAAAGTAATAAATTTATTCATAGCCTCATAATAATGAATCGGGTGATCGTGACCTTTTTTTACAAGAAACGGGTGATCATGACCTAATAAACATGCGACTATAGAAATATTTTAAGATTGTGTTATATCATCATTATGCACTCCCTTGAACGTTCAGCGGTTTTCATTAAAGTAATTTTGAAGAATTCGAGCATGATTGTGTTTTTCAAGAATTAATTAGCCATACACTAGAAGATTTCCAGTATTATTAAAAAAGTAATGTGACAAATGAGTAAATTAATGTAAATTTAAATGTATTTATCCCATACCGCAAAGCTATAAAACAATAAAACACTATATAAGGTTTTGGGCTACTCGTCCTATCAGGTTGACCTTTTAGGATGGAACCCCGAGTATTAACAATGTGGAAATTGGTGTGACAAATGACCGGTGGATTCGTAGTTTTAAAAAATTTAAATATAAATATGTTAATTGGGGTACACCTTATTGTAATTTGTGTTGATAGTATTTATTATTTTTAGATTCATATAATATTTTATTATGTTACCGAAAATGATATGGAGTACATACCTAAAAATGTTAAGGGTCTATCAGTTATTCAAAAATATAATTATAAAGTACCCCGTAATTGTGAATGAAAAATCCATTTGTACACACCTCTATGAACAGGATTCACAGACAAAAGATGTCGGTGATTTTGAACCTGCCATTGCAAGGGAAACTCATTTGCTGCAGGTGTGTCTTAATACACCTCATCACTCCCTTATCATAACAGTGTCGGTAGATTTTATTCCTAAAATATAATGAAGAGACCAGCTAGGACCAATTGACCAAATAAAGTGCTTGCCTGGGAACTCGAGTTAGTATTCGGAATCAATAAAGAAAAAGATAAAGGAAAACATAAAGTAAGAGTACATGATATTTTATTTGATGAAATTAGTAAAATCGTTCCGTAAATTGTATTTAAAATATGTTATATTAATGAAATAAATATAAAATTATACGAAAAATGCGAAAAAACCAATTCTATCAATTTCACTACAAAAATTCTATCAATTTCACTTATTTTGATTATTGCATAATTTAATGTGCAAAATCAAAGTTAAATCACATACATAATACATAGTAGAAAAATAGAGCCAATTAATGAAGTCGGGAATTACCAAACACATTTTTAATTAAGATCGCATAAGCAGTAATTAACTTATATTGCTGGTGGAATGAGTTGATATAGTGAAAAAGTATGCGTAGCATATAGAAAGGGTTTAATGCATCAAACCCCCTATGATATGAAAATTCGGTGCATTAGCCCCTTGTTATTTAAAAAATACGTCAAACTCCCTTGTGTTTTAATTAATTATGCGCAAAATCCTTTTGTAAACAAATTCAATTATCAAATAAAAGAAAAATGATTAACATTTTTTTATGATTTAGAGATTTTGACATATTTATTTGCATATTAGGAAAAATGATTTCAAAATCATTAAATTTATTCATAAAAGAGGTTCTGTCACTTCTGTGTATGATTAGTTAAAACACAAAGGGATTTGATGCAATTTTCAAATCACAAAGGGCTAATACATTGAATTTTTATATCAGGAGTAGGTTTGGTGCACTAAACTCATATAAATTCTCTTGGATATCATTTTATTAAGGTAATATACCCCGCATTAAACTCTTATATACTCTACTTATTAGTTATTCATTGACTTTTATACTCTTCCGTACTAATTCGGTTGACCATAAAAAGACCCACCGGTAGTTATTTGAAAAACATATTCCGTACTATGTTAGTTAATACAAACATTACTCTCTATTATTCAATTCAACTTCAGATTGAATAATATAACTACTAGTACTATCTATGCTTCCGCCAGACTTCTGGTTACTAATGTCCACCTAATTTGGGACTTCTAAATTTTAAATATTAGCTTTGTATTTTAAATGATATAAAATCACACAAAAGATCGGTACGTGACAATCTTAATGAGACGGACCGAAAAAGAAAGATGAAATTATCATATTGTAGCGGACGTGGGAGTAGTATTTTATCTTTTGAAAAAACATTATGGATGATAAAAAAAATATGGTGAAAAATGGTAAATTAATTACCTTCCAAATCAAGATGCTGATGTCATATTGGCCGCCCTTATATGATGAAGTTGGAGAGATGGCAGCTCCAATAGCAATTTGGTTATTGGTCTGAACAAAGCCTGAGCATAGCAAATTGTAACACCCAGTCCCTTGATATGCATCACTCTGCACATCAAAATATATGGTGTTATTATAGCATAATAATAGTCATTTTAATTAAATTTGTTGTTTGTTAAAGTATTTGTCGCACACCGCAAAGCTATAAAACAATAAATACTATATAAGGTTTTGGGTTACTCATCTTATCAGGTCTTGACAACTACTATATTGGTAATACTTACTAACGTATTATTATCTATTTTCGGGCATAAATTAAAATGATATTAAAAGAATATCATACCGTCCAGTACGTGAAAAATCTAGGATAGTTGTCCCCGTATAGGTCTGGGCTAACCTGCGTACAAAAGTATGGGATTCTCAATTTTAGATTACACAATGTCAAATATAAAGTCCAACCAAACACAAACTGTGCTGTATATATGATTTGATATTTGGTATTATATTGTAATATTGTATAATCTAATTTTAGTAAAATCTAAGACTCTTTAATTAGTGCAAGTAATAAGCAAATCAAATGAGCAAATTGAAAGGGGGGATTATATTGAATGAAGAAAAATGTTTGGTGTACACATTTTTGTACATTCGTTAATGTCACGCAAACAAAGTTGTCTGTGCGTGAGACAGACGAATGTACACAAAAATGTGTACACCTAGCAAATGAATAACATGCCTGCCAACCGGCTTCAATGGTGTTGAGATCATCACCAAATGTACCAGAAATAACCCACACTTGCGACAAGCTGAATTCGTATTGTTTATCCACGCGAGGTTCCCACACATTCATACTTGCTTTTGCTCCATAATAAGCTTCTCCACTTACATATCCAACTGCATGCTGTTCCCCATCCATATTTTGTATTATTTCTTTTAAAAAACTAAATAAATATATAAAACTAGTGGACATTATTTATACACTCCCTCAATCGTGAATTGTCAACTTTTTTCTTATAATCTTCTAAAACACCTTTTCTATTTCCTTTTTAAACAGCAAATTTATTGTTCATTTTATTTCTTTTTACTCTACACAAATTTTAACTATATGAATTTTTACATTATTATTTAAATGTGACTTAAAATTGCCTAGCATTTATAGGACAGAAAGAGTATTAATATATCATTATCAGTTCTTTCAAAAAGTTGAATCACCAACCCCAAGGACCCCTCACGTCCCGATCGGATAAGACTTTTGGGAGGTTGTAAGTCACGGTGACTTAGTCGGTACAATGGTGGTAGATCTTGTACTCGTGCACAACAGAGGTGCAGTCCAACTTTCCCACAACTCAACCAACTAAGCTACCCGTGCACGTTAATATATCATTATCAAGAAAACATGGAAATATCGCTTCAATGTTCAAATTCTAATAAAAACAAAATTTTGACGTATTTATAACAAAAATCCGTAGAGTTTCTCAAATGAAAACATATTTATTCTTTCTCGGAGCTTGAGTGTTTAGTAGATTATTATAAATCTCAACAGAATCACTTACTTCGTGACGGCTGCTGGATGTGGAGTCTTTTCGAACCGTGCTTGCGGGTTTTCTTCCGAAGTTCTTGAGGGAAGAAGTTCGGAGGATGTCCCGCTCAGACGTTCTTCTGATCGGGACAGTTCCTGGCGGGCATGATTCCCCAGACAAGCTCCACAGCTGAAAATTCTCGTACCACATCTGCTTTGTCTTGAGCCGCTTTGGCCTTTCTGGCGGATCCAATGGTTTTTGTCCCTTTAGCATCGGATGATCAAACGCCGGTTGTTTGTGAGATTCCACACAATCTATAATGTCTCCATCTGGACTCTACATAATTAATAAAGAATCATTGGATTTCACATTTCTCATTTATATCACAACATTCTGTCTCAATTTCAGTGATTTTTGACATTTGTGGTTTTCAAAATTTACCATTATTTGTTTGCTAAAACTATAAAAGATTACTTTTTCAGAAATATACATTCAAACACATTGATCAAAAGTAAAAGTTATTGAATGCTCTGGTTAATTTTGCGATGGCTGACTAAAGAAAAATCTAAATTTTCCTTGGATTCTGCAACAGAAGTTCCATTGGATTGCAGAAACCAAATTGGAATATGATAAATATTCATTATACTCCGAAAAACAAGAACCAAAGAAGGGCAGAAAATAACAGAGAAGATATGGAGAATACCTGAAATGTTCTGAGAGCGGGTTTATTAAGCTTCTTGAGATGAGCTCGGGTAATTTCCATCTTGTTAGACTCTTCCCCCGGCCAAAAAGCCTGGTGGGAATGGTTGAAGTTTTTGAGGTCCAGTCGCCGAGACTGGACCGAAGAAACAGAAAAGAGAAGAGGAAAGAAGACCAGAATAGAAACTGTTGTAGACAATGAAATCTTGGGCTTGAAAAACTGGAAATCCATTCTTTGGTTTGAATTATCATAAGCAGCTTTCTATTTCTTGGCTTCCTTTTTCATTCTAAAATCTGTGCACTTTGAAGGAAGCTGTCTTTTCTCACAAACCCAGGAAAAAAAACAGCACAATGAACTCTCATCACAGACGGAGCATCCAAATCCCACACTTATCAGCCTAGCACCATTCCCAATGATTAGCTTAGATTCCTTTAAGCACACCAATAAAGCAAAATTGGAATATTTCAGAGCTTCTATAACCTTGAGATATGGGGCTTTTAACCAGCTCTGAGCAACTCAACTCGAGAGCAAGTGCTTTTCTTCTTGCTTTTTGGAAACACAGACAGAAGTAGCAGCTAGGAAGGAATATAGGATTGAGTATTGTTGGGGTTTTCTATAAAGAGTAAGACTCGAGTGGAAATGGATGAATCTATACAGTTCCAGGCCTGGCGTGTGTAGAAGTAATGTTTCTGGATCAATTGGTCCAGAGTCTTGCACAATTTTATAAGGAGTAGTACTGATTACTGTTTAGTTTCAAAAGAAACAGAGTCGGAATCACCGGACTTGAGGGCCCACTGTCTAGTCATTATGTTGTTTTGACTGAGTTGACCGGTGTTCCGGCTCTTAGCCGCGTCACCTAATTAAAGTGTTCATATACGAAATACTGGTTTTGGTGCCTTTCTCTTTCACTTCTATTCCCTACTACTCGATCAATTTATACGTTGAATTGAATTATACATTGCACCAATCACAAATTAAATTGGTCTATAACGGAGTATAAAGGATGGGATTGTATTCTTAAGTCCCTTATAATTTTGTTAACTTTTTTTTTATTGTCTAAATTTTTTTATCAATTCCTCTTTTAATTAATCAATTTGTGGTTATAGTTACATTTCTATTCTATGCACATACATGTCATACTTTTTTGCTTTATTATTTTACGCGCTGGTCAAATTTGATAAAATTTTAAGAGACGAAGTGAGTATAATATTACATTAGAAGCTTATATCTGGTAATTGTAAGAGATAAGCTAATTAATAAGAAGTATAAAATTACAAAAGCCTTTTTTTATCAATATTACTAAAATAAATAGAAAAAATAAAAAATTATACCTTGTATTTAATATTGCATTAATAACGGTAATTTTTTCCTTTATATAATTGATAATTAGTCCATCTTCTGTAACCACCACAACAACACCAGCACCACCGCGGCCGCCGATCCCAGCACTGCCCCTGTCGCCAATCTTGCCGCTTAGTGACCATCGGCCATCACCACCTTCACTAGTCACCAACCCTGTGACATTCACCCAACTCCGGTCACTAACTAGTGACTTTCACCCAAATGCAGTCACTAACTCAGTGACTTTCACCCAACTCCGATCACTAATCCACTTACTTCTACCCAAATCCGGTCACTAACCCAGTGACTTACACCCAACTCAGATCACACTGACCCCGCCCAGTGACACCGCCCTCCGTTAGCATCACCCAATGACCACCACCACCTAGCCCCCTGCCCAGCCCCCATCGCCCACAAGGCCCACAACCCAATCCAGTCCTCTCCTTAGCCCCAAGCCAAGCCCAGATTCGTCCCCCTCTGCCCCCTGCGCAACAAAGTTGCAACTTACGATGCCCATGTCGATGTGAAAGCCACCTTCCCAGTCCCTGTTTAGCGTCGGCGGCCAATAAACATCTCTTCTCGCACCACTGCCCCCAACCAGTCAATACCAGACCCCACTGTAGCCTCATCAACCTTTCCATGACCTGTAACGACCACTCCCAAATACACCGGAAATGGACATTACGGAATTAAAACATAACGGAGACTCAGTACACAGAGCGAAAATAGAAGTACAAAGTCTCAAAACGAGACTTTTTTTTATAAACATAACCAAACCTCACAATAATAATGATGAGTAACCAAAAGAAAACTATTACACTTGATCAGGATTTCAAAAACATTCAACAACCCGTAGGAGTACCAAAGTACTAAAAACAAAACATAACGAATAGCCAGATCTTCTTCGTGAACCCATCCAAAACTTTGTCACCAGCTCCACACGCTCTCTCAGGCTTCCGTATTTCATTTATTACCTATACATGAGAACATAAGAGAAGAATTCTCATAAGCAAAAATGCTTAGTAATTAAGTCACCATTAGATCCACTAAAATAACAGAGTCTTAGCTAGTCATAAAAAGATACACAAGTTGGATTACACAACACGTAAGATATAGTCAGATATAAAACACATATAAAAATAAGTAAAAGTTGCAAGTATCAAACCCCAAGAGGTTTCCTTGTTCATCATTCTTTCTTCTCGTTTTGTCCTTTGAGTTTATGGGCCCGTAGCTCATGTCCAGACCCCTCGCCGACGATTTCGGGTAGCTAGCCCTTGGCCCTTTAGAAGTAATCTCGGGACTCCCCGCGAGAGGATGTCCCGCTAACGCTCAGCTCAGGTAGTTACTTGGGGGCACGACTACTTTAGAATATTACTTATCATTCATTAGTTATCATTATTATCGTAACTTCCTTTTTCCTTTTCGTTTCCATATGAACAACAAATCCGAAAATCTAAACATAGATTCTTAATATAATAAATTAGAGAAATCAATAGCTCCACGACTAAGACCACCCGTCAATAGATACATACAACTTGGAGTTTACATAATGCCATGCCATACGATTTCAAGTATTCAAGCAAATATATATCAATTCATAATTAGCTAGACTTCCATACTTTATTTAGCACTATCATGTATAAGTGGTGATGACTTACCTTGTTCAAACGACATATATCTGAGTTTCTAATAGTAGTTTTAGAGGACGTCAAATTTGCAATTTTCTTACGCGAGTCCTCTTGGCAACCAAACATTTTGTCTCTTTGAAAACATTCATTTTTTCGATACTTCAAACTTTAGACTCTCATCAGCGGTCAATAAATCATTCTCAACTTATGAATTCAATATGTGGTAATATTTCTTTTCATTTATCCTTGCAAAAGAAAGTTTATTACTATTGTTATATGTGGCAATTTTATTGTTTGTCATATTTATTAGTGGAAAGAAGGTTGACTATGAAGTAGTTATTAATGATTTGCTTCACATTGGTCTATGAGAAACGTTTTCAAGTAATGTTTTTTCTTTTTATTTGATACCAGTACTTGTGTTGTTACTTTTGCCCAAATATGTAACTTATATAATAATAAAGTAATTCTTGTCTTTATTTTATGAACTTCATTGCCCAAAATACGGTATCGCCCATAGGCCCAGAAATGGACAGGACCGGCCCTGCTGGTTTCCCTTGCCAAACTGACTTACAACATTCTGTTTTTGACCGGCGTCGGTCCGGGGCCCACCGATACCGAAAGTCGATCCCTAAATCGATCCCGATTGTTGCTGACCCTAAACCCCCGGTGACATTTTAAAATATATTTTAACCACCTGAAGACTATTAAACATGCCAACTAACTTAATATATCTTTTATTCGAAATAAATTTATGATTACGGTGTAGTTTCGTTGCTCATCGAATACCGTCGCCTGTCACGTTCAAACATATCACAAGCATGTAAATGTCAAACACTAATATCATAAAATGCACAATCACATGATATCCCTCAACTTACATATATAATACCCAAAATCATATGTTATAGCATGATCATATATAATTACTTTAGCACATAAGAAGTAGATAAAACGTCCGGGTGTTACATGACCCCATCAGCCCTACCACCGCTCTAGCCTAACCCTAGCCATTGTAGCCATTTTGGATCTAGATATCAAAATCACTTCTTCGCCCAATCGATTAGGTCAATGCCCCAATTAAAAAATGGAGGCCCTTATAAATATATCCAACCTAATTTTAAATTAAAAGTGAAAATATGTAGTTGGGAAAAGAGTTTGAGTGTAATGTTTATTTAATGATTTTTGTTGAATCAGAATCCTATTCGCAACAAGATCCAAGGCTGATTAAAGGGACTATTTGCTTCCATATCAATTATCAACTACTACGCACAACAATTGACTGAGGAAAGGCATGCATGAAGATCAAAGTTTGAGGATGCGCCGATTGGGTGGAGATGATTAGATGTGTTTGCGGTCTCCAATACAAAGCAGCCTGGAACTTTATCTTTTATCTTTTCAAAAAGTGATAAAGAGCGTTATATAGATAGACTATACAGTGTTTAAAATGTGAGTTAACAAAGTGACGCCATCAAATCTCGAACCAAGTTTAAATGAGATTAGGCGGAGCCTCAGGCCTAACAAAGCATATACATGCTACTAAGTTTAATTCAGACATTTTATGTCCTTTAAAATTTGTCTTTTTTGACTTTTCAAGTTAATGGCGGTAAAGTTTAGACAATAATTTTCATTAGCATAATATTTAGGAAGTATAAATTTATATTTTTATATATGAAAGTACTTTTAACAAAGAATAATTTAAATAAATATATAATTGGTCAAAGTTGAATTTGATTGACTAAAATATTCAAAGATGACAAAGTTTTAAACGAGAAGAGAGTATTTTGTAATTTTAATTCAATCAATTAATCATTTAATTGTAGTGACAAGTCACAAGATGATGGAATTCTTACTTTTTAATATATTTATACTCTGTAGTTTTCAAATGTAAGGAAAATTAAAAGCACAATAAAAGTGTATGTTCGGTGACTCTGTTTTTCGACTTATCAGTCAACTTTTTTATGAAACACGTAACTTTCGATATCGCGCGCTGTAAAAGTAAGAAGAAATAATGACCCGTATGACTAATTGGCTTTTGGATTCCAAATATAAGATTCTTTTAATGTTTTCCAAAAATATGACTCGCGCTCCATTCCTCCCCACTAGGGATGAGCATGGTTGGTTAACCAGGTTTTGGTTAACCAACTTTCTGGTTAACCGCGAAACTGATTACTTCGGTTAACCGATACTTCGGTTAACCAAAGTTTTGGTTAACCGAGTATCGGTTAACCAAAACTTCGGTTAACCGAAAACCATAACTGAAAATAATTTTCTAAACTCTATGATCATAATAAAAAATTCATAAATAGATCAAGTTTTGAATTGAAGAAGATAATAGAAATACAAGAATACGGTGGTGTTAACAAATACATGAGTGCATAGACTAGAATTGATATACGAAACAAATCTCCAATATAAAACTCTCGGTTTAAATCAATTTTTATAATTTATCTCCAAAGCAAAAAAAAAATAAGCAGCTCAAGTCCACAACACGTCTTCAACTTCAAGATTTGTTTCATTTCCCTACAAAAATAAAAGTGACATATTAAAAGTTGGCGGTCGATAAAAAATGAATATCGATAAAAGTGACATACAAAAATAAGCTGATTAATAGCGAAATGAAAATGGAAAATCACTGCTTTAAGCTTACCAGTTACCAGTAAGGCTAAGGACATGGATATATTAAATGTGAATGCTATATATGAAATTAGTTTTTTCCTCACG